CAGAGCTTCTGCTTAAGAGCCTCCTCTGTACTTATAGGTTCAGAGTCTACTAACATGGCACACTGAATAACTTCTCCTTCAGAGTCTACTTCAGTGTCTTGCAGCATGTCAAATTCTGCAAATCTTCTGGGAACGCTTCTGATTCTTTGTGGTCTCTGAACTTGTTCAGAGTCTTGACTTTCTCCAGAGCTTTGACCAACTTCAGGATCTGGCATATTTCCAGAGTCTTGAACTTCAGAATTTCTAGCTTCAGATGATTGACCTCCAGAGCTTTGACCATCTTCAGAGTCTGGCATATTTCCAGAGTCTGAATTGCCACCAAGATCTGGATTGCCATCAGAGTCTGAATCATCAGAGTCTGGGTCATCAGAGTCACCTTCATCTTCTGAGTCATCTTCAGAGTTTGAATCAGTATCAGAGTCAGAGTCAACGTCAGGGTTTACTTCAACTTCAGAAATTCTTAACTCTGGCCTTTCTTCAGAGGTTCTAACATCAGAATCAGATTGAGACTTATCCCAATTCCAAACTTCTGATTCCTTCACAATCACATCTCTGCTGAATTCAATTTTATTGGTTTCTGGACAATAGAGCTTGTATGCACCTGTACTGTGGTACCCTATCAGAATCATCACTTTGCTTCTATCATCCAGCTTCTGTCTTCTGGCTTCTGGAACATGTTTATAGCAAACAGAACCAAACACCTTCAGATGACTAACACTTTGCTTGTCTCCAGTCCACTTCTGCATAGGAACTATTTCCTTCAACTTCTTCGTAGGACATCTGTTGAGTACATACGTTGCAGTGGCAACAGCTTCTCCCCAGAGCTTCTGAGGAAGCTTCTTCTCCTTTAACATGCTTCTCACCATATCAAGCAAAGTACGGTTTCTTCTTTCAGCAAGACCATTGTGTTGAGGGGTATAAGGAGCAGTAACCTCATGCTCAATTCCATTCTCCTCACAGAACTTCTGGAACTCTTTGGAGTTATACTCACCTCCACCATCAGTTCTAAGAATCTTCAACTTCTGACCACTCTGATTCTCAGCCTTCATTCTGAACTTCTTGAATTCATCAAACACCTCGTGTTTGAACTTAATAAGGGATACCCATGTCATTCTTGTGAATTCATCAACAAACAACACAAAGTATTTATTCCCTCCAATTGATGCTACTGGAAATGGACCACACACATCAGAGTGTACAACTCCCAAGGCATGTTTTGCTCTTGGAGCAACTTCTGATGCAAATGGCAATCTTGGTTGTTTTCCTTCCATGCAAACTTTGCATGACTCTTCAGGCTTCTTAATTGCAGGAATTCCATGTACCAATTTCTTTGAATTCAGATGTTGTAAGCTTCTGAAATTCAAATGACCAAATCTTCTGTGCCACAGCTCACTCTCCTTCTCAGTACTTGTTGCACTAAGACACTCTGAGTCTGCAGTTCTGACATTCACCTTGAATGTTCTATTCCTTCCCTGTTCTGACTCCATAATCAACTTCTGATTACAGTCATACAGCTTCAGAAGATTGTCCTTCATGGTAACTGAGAAACCTTTCTCAATTAATTGTCCCACACTCATCAGATTGCTTCTGATGCCAGGTACATACCACACATTCTGAATCAATGCTATTTTCCCATTGTTCAGAGTCACTCTGACATTTCCCATACCTTCTGCATTAAGATATTTGTCATCAGCACATCTGATCTTTGTTCTCTTTTCAGAGTCAAAGTCAACCAGCCATTTCTTGTTTCCAGTAAGATGATTTGAACAACCAGTGTCCATATACCACCAGTCTGTCAGATCATCAGATTCAGAGGCCATCAATAGCACAGATTCGTCATCAGAACTTCTGGCTATATTTGCTTCTTCTGATTTCTTCTCCTTGTTTGACCAACAATCTCTAGCAAAGTGACCAAACTTCTTACAACAGTAACATTGTATTTTTCTTTTGTCATACTTCTCTTTTCCCCTCTGAGCATTCTTTTGTCTATCAGAGGTTGAGCTTTCTGACTTCTGACCACCATCAGATCTTCTCCTGGCTTCTGACTGCTTCTGATACCTCCTATCAGAAGTTGCTTTCAGAGCCTGCTGTTCTACTTCCTTTTCAGAGTTTCTCTCAGTCAGACGCAACTCTTGCGCTTCTAGACTGCTCTGCAGCTCTTCAATTCTCATTGTGCTCAGATCTTTGGAATGTTCTATTGCTACCACAATGTAATCAAATTGAGGAGTAAGGGATCTCAACACTTTCTCCATGATTGTTTCTTCAGAAAGAGTTTCTCCACATGCCTTCATCTCATTAGTGATCAGAATCACTCTGGAGATGTATTCAGAAACTTTCTCATTATTCTTCATGTTGAGATTCTCATATTGCTTTCTCAAGGACTGAAGCTTCACCTTCTTCACTGATGCGTCACCACCATAACATCTCACCAGAGTGTCCCATGCAGCCTTTGCTGTTGTAGAGTCTGTAATCTTCTCAAACACGTTTACATCCACACATTGATGAATGAAGAACAATGCTTTCTGATCCTTCTTCCTTACTTCCTTCTGCGCGTTTTTCTGTTCATCAGTTGCATCTGCTGCTACTGGAACATAACCATCAGTGACAAGATCCAGAACATCTTGAGCACCAAACAGTACACGCATTTGGATCATCCAACGATTCCAGTTTTTACCATCAAATACTGGAAGTTTGGTGTTCATGTTGCCGTTTCCGTTCATCTTCTACTTTGCACAATACACTCAGAGTTTTCTCACACAGTGTTTCCCAACCCACAGAATTTAAAAATTCTGATCAGATTTTGTTCAAGATTCAACAAGAATCTGAGAAACAAAATCAAACACACAAGACCTCACGTTCACTCGTGTTTCCCGTGTTTCCCAATGAATCTGAACCGGAGCTCTAGATACCAATTGTTGGTGCAAAGATAGAATAAATGATGAAATAGGAAATATTACTAATAAGAGAATGACGGCTACAAAACATAATTTTGTTACAATGATTGTCACCCTATTTATAAGCTAAAACTAGGGTTACTAGAATAAGATAAATACTAAAATACCCTCTAACAAACTTAGGGGCCAAGAAAATAGTACAACTAAATAAATATGAATTATTAATAATATTCTAATATCAACAAGACCGATAATTTCTCCAATTTTCAATTCTACAGGTTTGATTTTTAAAGCACCGTTATATATGCAAATTTGTATTTGTGTAAAACTATAAATATTATGTTGTATTAGATACTTTCATCAAATTATAGTATTTGTTTCTTTTATCTAATATTATATTAAAATGAATAATTTAATTAAAATAAACTGACAATATAAAAGAAAATAGAATTTTACATTATCAATTAACTATAACCGTTGAATTTTAAAAAGAAATTAACTTTTATTTAATTATTAATAAAATAACATTAAAAGATAATAGTGATGAACTCACAGTATAAAACTTTTTATTGACAATATATGTTTTAATTCTTAAATTTTTAGCTACACCAATTTAATGTCCAATCTATTTTTATTTACTTTCCTGACTAGATTTCAAAGCCTCCACAACTTTTTATTTTATTTTTTTGTTTGTTATTATTACTGCCTTTTGTTTTTCCTTGCCCGAATGAGCTTTTTCAAAGTGGTCACATGACCTCTTGCATATGTTGTTTTTCTTTTTGCCTACAGAATCTAGTTCTTTTCATTATACAACCAGCCGTAATACTAAGTGCAAACTAGTTTTATTACTAGATTCATAACACTTGTAATCTTTTATAAAATTGCCTTAAATGTGGTCCTTAGAGCGAGCTAGAAACTTTTAAAACTGATCTCAAATCTTCATTAAATGGTCCTTAAGCTAGAAACTTTTTTGAATGATCTCAAATCTTCAAAATATGGAAAAATTCTTAGTTAAACATAATTTACAAACAACAAATCATAACTTTTTTTATGAATTAAAAATTTTAAAATTTAAATAAATATTAAAAAATGAAATCTATATTAAATATTAATATGGATATAAGTGCATTTGAATGCAAGTATATATATATATATATATATATATATATATATATATATATATATATATATATATATATATATATATATATATATATATATATATATATATATATATATATATATATATATATATATATATATATATATATATATATATATATATATATATATATATATATATATATATATATATATATATATATATATATATATATATATATATATATATATATATATATATATATATATATATATATATATATATATATATATTTGAATATGATCATAAATTTTGATATGTTAAAATTTTAATTATTAGACATTTTATATTTAGTGTTTTTCTACAAGATAAACTTTTTTATGTTTCTGGTGTCATTTAAATTTCTTATTTATCTTAATTTACTGGATAAACTTTTATATAAAATATCAAAGGGCTTAATATTTATGATTTAAAAAATACAAATATTTAAATTTAATTTAATGATTTTTAAAGATGAAAGTTAAATATAAAAAAAAACAATTATAACCCGTAAATCAATTACGGCTGAAACAAACTGAAAAATCAGTTAAAATACCTAACTGATTAACACTTTTCTAAGTTATATGTAATCAATGAAACAAACTGAAAAATCAGTTAAAATACGCAACTGATTGCACCATCTTGAAAAACACTTTTCTAAGTTATATGTAATCAATTAACCTTGCACTTAGAATTATATGATCTTAAGAATAATAACTATTAATTTACTAACAACAACTAAAAAAATCTCTATAGGAGCAATACTATCAAACAAATTATAAAGATCTAAAGCACTCTTAAATATAAAACTTTATTGTTATTAGCATAGAAAATTCAATACATGAAATTTAAAATACACATAAACATAAAATTTGAGTGTGGCTCAAAATCATTGAAATTTATTAGATAACTAAAACACTCATACAAGATATGCATGCATATCAATAGCATTGTTTTGTAGTAATTCAATTTCTAAACAAACTCAACTCCTGAATTAAAGCATTCAAATCACAATAAGATGATCCTTCTTCTTCCACAGCCTTCTTAGCTAACTCTGACAACACTTTCACTCTCTTCCTCATTTCTTCTACTTCTTCACCTTCCATAATCCTCTTCACTGCCTTTTCCAATGCATCCCAATGAACCTCATCTCCCACCAAACCAACCCATTTTTTAGCACCAACAGGAACACCAATTTTAAGCACCTCAGTCAACAACTTCTCATTGTAAAACTGCTCAGAAGACATAGGCCAAGTAACCATAGGCACCCCTGCAATGACACTTTCCAAAACCGAATTCCATCCACAATGAGTCACAAATGCACCAACTGCTTCATGTTCAAGAATCAACACTTGTGGTGCCCAATCTCTAATTATCATTCCTTTTTCTTCCATTCTCTTCTCAAATCCTTCCGGTAACCATTCTTCTCCGTCGTCTTCATTTTTCCTAACCACCCAAATAAATTTCTGTCCTGAAGCCTCAAGTCCCATGGCAATTTCTCTAAGCTGAGAGTTACAAAAGTGTGCCATACTACCGTGGCACACGTAAACAACTGAGTTTGGTTTCATCGTATCCAGCCATTTTAGATACATGTCTTGAGGTTGATTCACAGGAGCTTCTTTATTCCAAAGAGGCAAAGGACCAATATGCCATGCTTTTCTTCCAAGTATCTTCCTGTAATAATCTGCGTAAACATTTTCAAGTTCATAAAAGCTGTTAACAACCACTCCAAAGCTCTTAAGTTCCGATTCCTTTACTTCATACATTAGTTTAGCCATTCCTTCGAATTCCTCCCAGTTTTCGAAAGGGGCTATCTGCAACCTAGTCATTTTAATCTCACCGGGAAGATTAGAAATAACAAAGGATTCAGTATGAGAAGAAACATTTCTAAAAGGTTGATAGAGTCTCATACACTCTGTAGCACACAAGGAAAAGAAACAATATCCATGAAACACAAGTCTAGGAATTCCAAATTTGTGAGCAGAATCAGTCACCCATGGGAAAAACATGTCGGCAACAACACAATCTGGATTTTGCTCAAGTAATAGTTCTTCAAGTTGTTCCTGTAACAAATTTGTCGCCAAACAGAAGCTAGGAAACCATTCCGGTGAAGGGAGTGAGTCAACATTTTCACATCCATTTGGTAAACCAGCCTTTGAGGAAGGAAACAGTATGGTTTGAATATGAATATTGTGACCAATAGTTTTGGATTTTTGTATAGCTTTAGAGATAATAGGTTCATTAAGAGGTGTGGTAATGATTGTGGCTTTGACACCTTTTGCTGCAAATAATTTGGCCATTTCAATGGTGGGTTTCATATGGCCATGAGCAAGAAATGGAAAGAAGAAAATGTGTAAAGAACTACCCATCTTCTTCTTCTTCACTACGTAGGAAGAGAGCAAGTTCAATTTGGTATATACATCTCAGAGTGAAGCATTTTATAAGGATACAATTTTATATCAATTATGAAAATTTGAATATTGAACTTTTTAACCAATGATTTAATACTATTTTATTTTATTATATTTCATTATTTATTTAATAGGTTATTTTTAAATTAATTTCTTTCATTTTCCTGTATTAACTTATTCCTTAATAGAAAAGACATATGAAAAGTTAGGCAACTATATTTTTATGATAATACTTACTTGCTTCCTTCGTCTTTAATAAGCATATGCTAATGTCCACACACACATTTATTTTCTCAACATCCTAAGGTAACACACCTCATTTATTTTATGAAAAATGTTAACGAATGTTATAGAACTCTAAATCTTAAACTCAATAAAAATATATATATTTAACACATTAAAAATTAAAATTATTTTTATTTTTATTTAAAATTCTTTAAAAAATGCCTCTAGAATACGAGTTTCTATCTCGTTAACAAGACCTTTATTTTATAAGTGAAATATTTTAGTAATTTATAGTTATGGCCAAGTGAGTATTTCTCATTAATCTTTGCATGTGGGTTGCAGAATGCTTTTGGCATTCCCAAACATGACATGTGTGTTTGTGATTATGCAACATTATCTCAGAGGTGTCAATTTGAATACTGACTCAGATATGATGAATCAATTACACAATAGTGACTACTATCTCTGGAAATTTGCAAGGTCCTGCCATGCTTTTGGACAAAATGTATTAATTACCATCCATTTTCAAATATAAATTAAAGTACCACTGTTTCAAACAAATTTACTTTTTGATATAAAGCAACTGTTCATTTGGTGGTTTTTTTTTTCAGCTGTGCTATAGTTTGAGAATTTAAATATCAAACTATTCTAGTTTGAAAAAAATTTGGGAGAGTGTCCTATTTTTTTTCATTTGCTCGTCCACTTAAATAGGAGTTGAGTCTGATTTTTATGCTGTGAAGGTGTTCGCCCACTCAAGTGGCGAGCACATGAAGAACTCGTTTTTTTTTTCTTCATATTTATGTTATATAATTAATCAGATATTTAATAATTTTAATATAAAAATTATATTGTAAAATATATTATACTAATTTAATAATAAAATATTAATTAAAAGTATATTATAATAATAAAATATTTTATACTTTATTAATCTAATAATTAAATACTAATTAAAAATATATTATAATAATTAAATATTTTATGTTGTATTAATATAATAATTAAATATCAATTAAAAATATATCATAATAATAAAAAAAAATTGATGTATTAATTAAATGCAACAATAAAATATATTAAACAGAAAGACATGTTACATAAATTTGATCAAAAATGGCCCCCAGTTCCACACCTAGTGGCCATTTTCTGTCAATATCCCCTGCCCACACGTTCATTTGCATTCGTTGTAGATGATTGAGATGAGTCGGAAGACATATCTTTATCGTGATGTGTTGTAGGGGGGTGTGTCTGTCTTGAATGAGAATTCTGCTTGTGTTGATGGTAGCTCATCAAGAAGATCATCATTGTTAAAATCTGGAATTTGCATCAGTTGATCCTCCGTCAGCAAAAAATTTTAGAATGATTGTGATGGTTGCGGTGGTTAGGGGTAGGTTTCGGGTTGGGTTTGTTGGAGGGTTGAGTAGTAGACATCATCGAGCGTGAAGGTGGAGGTGGGTTGAAAGAATGAAGTGTCGAAGGTTTAATATTGGAATTGAGGGTTTGATTGATCAAAGTTTGGCGGTGGAACTGAAGCGAACTGTAAGGGTGGTCGAAGGTTGGATTGGGGTTGATATTGTTGGTTGTAGTTGTAGTTATAGTTTTTTTTAAGGAGTGAATTATAGAGAGTTTGTTGTTGGGATGAGAATGCATAATATATATGTTGTTCGGTTGTCTGTGTGCGTTGGTATGTATGCTGAGCTGAGGAAGATGCGTGCCCCCCAAATTGAGATGTGTAGTTTGGTGGCACATCCTGATGCATTAATGTGGAAATTGGTTGTGTTGATGACAAACCTTGCATGCGTGGGTCGATCAAAAATTGGTCTTGAGCAATATGCACATAGAGAATGGCATGAAGCCAAGTTAAATACTCTTGGCTTGGCTTGCGTTCACCAACTTCAGCGTCCCCGCTGCAAAATCAAATGTCTTCTATGTTTCTATTCTCTTACCTCCTCTTTGTTTAAGTCTCACCAATGAACTTTTTAGGTTTTTCTCATTGTCATTGCGTGGTGTTCCCTTAGACACCTTGGCGAAGAAGGGATTTATTGTTCAAACCCAGACTGGAGTATTACCCTATCTGTTTGATGCATTTCAACGGTATAGAAACAAATAAGAGAAGTTGTAGCACTCCAGATCTGGCTATCTCTAAGATTGGGCACCGGGTATTGAATGTACGACCTCCATATAAACTGCCACATATTAAAAAAAAATTATAATACCATTAAGGAGTATAACCGACAACTATGTTTTATGGTTTCAAACTTACATCTTTTTCTTACATGTGGTCTAATGCGTTTCGATATCCTTGTAGATGGAAACGAGGATTAGCATCGTAATTCATCCGTCTTTGGGCCCATCTTGCATAAACAAAAAATATAAATATTGTTAGGCATAGTTGAATAACAAATATATATATATATATATATATATATATATATATATATATATATATATATATATATATATATATATATATATACATATATATATATATATATATATATATATATACATATATATATATATATATATATATATATATATATATATACATATATATATATATATATATATATATATATATATATATATATATATATATATATATATACATATATATAACATACACATAAATGCGTGTTTTAATCTAATAATACCTTTGTGCATATGGATGTGACGGTTGCACTGTACTAACAAGAGCAAACAATGGTATACGCGTGAATGCCCAAGAAGTGAGTAGAAGAACACAACCACTCATGCTCCTAACATCTTTGACTGCTGCCTTGCATATTTCCGTGTACAGTTTTGCAAGACATGCAGAACCCCAACTATAGGTGCCACATTTTTCTAGATCCCCTACGAAAGGAATCCAGGAAGAATGCAAAAGATTTTGACTCTTGTCGGGAAAAAAATAGTAGCAATTACAAGTAAAATATAAACTTTACCTTATAAAACAATATGTTCTTGTGCGGGGGCAGAGTTATCTTTTAAAACTTCATATAAATTTTCTAGCCACGTAATCCTAACAGAACCTCTATTTTTATCTGCTTCTGTAGGTTCCACCCTTAAGCTCTCCATATAAATATCATTTGTGACTTCGGTAGGACCGTTGATAGCTTTTCCATCAACTTGAAGACCAAGTAACATATTCGCATCTTCTAACGTTATCGTGCATTCACCTGTTGGGAAGTGAAAAGTGTGTGTTTCTGGTCTCCATTTCTCTAACAAAGCTACAACTAAGCGGGAGTCGATTTTGAAACTATTTATTTTTGAGATATGAGTAAAACCTGTTATTTCTAGATACGGGATTATTCTCGCACTTGCTTGAATGAGAGCATGAGAATGCACTTGAAACCTTGCATTAGTCTGAAATGATCTGAAACAATATTGAACCGAGCAGTTATAATCATTATTCATAGAATAGTGGAGGAAAACTTACACTAGCTTGAATGTTTTATTATGTTCCACGGTTTTCATCGTCCATCCACAACAAAGCCATTTTGATTTAGTATCAAGATACTTCAAGAAATGCTTGAATGTTTGTTGTCTCTATAATGCTTTGTGCTAGAAGTAAAAATGTGTGTAGAAAAACGTTTGAGGTAAAATTGAATTTATAGATAAAGTATAAATGTTTGGAAGTGTAAATGTGACTAGTAGAAGTGACAATACATTGAGTTTTGCATGACTTTGGAAACGGTTACTTGCATGGAATGCATGCAAGGCAAGTAGCTAGGTCTTACACAATGTTTCATGCATGCATGACATTTTTCAGCACCCATCATGCACTCGCCACTTGGGTGGACGAGTTGCCTCGTGAACAAGAGGATGCTCGCCCTTTGAGTAGGCGAGCAAGCACCACACATGAGCATGCTCGCCCTTTGAGTGGACGAGCTCAAGGGACCTTTTTGTTCTTTGCATTTTATGTGTGTATATATATATATATATATATATATATATATATATATATATATATATATATATATATATATATATATATATATATATATATATATATATATATATATATATATATATATATATATATATATATATATATATATATATATATATATATATATATATATATATATATATATATATATATATATATATATATGTAACATATCTTGTTTGTATCATAACTCCATATTTCATTAACAAGAACATAGATTTTACACATCAAATATGTCTCAGAGAAATATAATTGTTACCTGCCACTTTAGTGGTGTTGTTTCAACAAATATTACCGTAGGATTCTCATTCAGCAACAGAGATACTTACACATTCAAAATTCATGTTATTTCTGATTTTTTTCCATTTCAAAGATAGAATGGAAAAAAAATTAGAACAATGCGTTGAGGAGATAATTTATCGTCATCCTTTACTTAATGGAGACGACTGTACAATTTTTTACGCAATGACGCCGATCAGGAACGACGAAGATGTGGAGGAAATGTTTCGGAGCCACATGATGTTTGGTCAGTTACCCACAATTGAGCTGTATGTTCGACTACTAGACAATGCCGAAACATTTCCGACGCAAAAGACACAGTGACACCGGTATGGAATGAGCCAAACATCCAATGACGAACCAACACAAAACAACCAACGTTTCATACCAAATGAAGAGGTTGGGGAAGCA